TTTTTTTTTTTTCACAGAATGTGATGGGGGTGTTTATTGTCACTTAACAATTCAGGTTTTCTTAATTATGTTAGGCAGAAATTATTATTTTTTTTAGCAGAATGTCTATGGGGGCATTTATTGCCACTTAGTATTTTAGGATCTCCTAATTATGTTAGGCATAAAGGGAGAACAAATGGATTTTATTTTTTTAATTTTGCCTCACTTTGAAATAGCATATTTATATTTATGCCTTCTAGTTGCTACCACATCTCTTGACTAACTTGCTTAGGAAATGTGGTGCTTCTTGGCTCCCCTTAGCCCTAGAGAGAATGCTGAGGGCTTATAGGGAGGAGGGAGAAAGACTTGGGAAAGTGGAAGTTAGTCAGGTTTCTGCATAGGTTTATCACTGAACCCGGAGGCTGAAAACCAGTCAGTGTGGAATTAAATCAGTCTGGTACGAAGCATTCACTGCTGATGAACACACAGGGAAATACTGAGACTTAACTGTAATTTTTCCCTTTTTGGTTGGATGAGCAGCCAATTTTACGTATTTAAGGAAGCCAGCCTTCTCTAGGGGACTGTTTGCTTAGTGTCCTTCAGCCATAATGAGACAAAATTCAGAGGTAGGACATCTTTCTGCGAAAGCTCCTTTCCCTCACTGTCCAATCGTGGCCTTAATTGTTCTTCACAAGTGGTGCTGCACACTGCTTTCTGCTATTTTTCTCAATTGGTCCTGATTTGTCCATTCTTAATAGTGACTCTGCTTTCCAATTATAGTCATTTTTCTCTCTGAAATTATATCCCTTTTGAGAAGCCAAAGACTGAAAAGTACAGGTGGTATGTGAATGCACCAAAATTCAGTCAGTAGGCATGAAACCTCTAAATACACATTTCAGATAAGCGGAATAGTTTTTATAGACATAAATCCTGCCTTCAATGTGTCATGCGTTATTGGTTACTCTGTTTTTATACTTACATCTAGTAAGTAAGTTTAGGCCTGTTGTAAACAAGGAAAAAATAGACTGACAGAAGAAAAATGAGTTTGAATGACAAATGATTTCTATTTGCTCAGTGATTAACCCTTTAATGTTACTGCCCTAGAGATACCACATGCAGTGAGGGGCTTGAGGCCCTAGCAGGCTTTCTGTGAGGAAGGGAAAGGCAGCCAGGAATAATAATCTGGGCTTCTGTTGTGCTAATAATACAGCATTGTTCTTCCTTCCATGAGCTGTGCAAGATTGCAGTGGAGTAGCAGACTGACAGGATGGTTCCTTTCATGCTCTTAGGCCGGAATAGCCACTCCAGCTCTTATATAAAAGGCTGTGATTTGGTGTACACACAACAGAATAATCAGTTACCTAGAGTCACTTCAGTTTAGTTTTTGTTTAAAGGGTAAGATGGAAAAGGAGTCTAAATGGGCTCCTTTATACTCCTCTGCCATAGGAAATATATAAGTAATAACACATATGAGGCTTCTATGTCATTTTTCCCTAATAGTACTTCACTGCTTGAAAGACCATCTGCTCTAAAGAGGACAAGATTATAGTATTATTTCAGAGGAAAAGTAGGCAGTGATTTATTTTGACCTTTAATAAATCAACATAGTTTTACCATACACATTAAAATATTTCTGCTGACAGGTTTTTTTTTTTTCTTTAATCAAAGATTTACTGCTGCTAGCATTGCAAATGTTTGAGACTGCTTTCCCATGATATTTGAAATATTTTAGGGTGGGGGAATTGCTTCATACCTTGAATTAGTGGTTATATGATGGTATACAATTATCAAAACACATCAAACTGTATACAAATCAATTACAATATATGTCAATAATAACTGAAAAATAAAACGCCTCTGGGCCCTGCCTAGTGGCACAACGACTTAAAACACAATACTATGAAGGTATCCACAGCCATTGCAGCATGAGTTCAATCCCTGGCCAGGGAGATGAACTCACATGGTGCGGCAGACCTCTTCTGCCTCTCCCGCTGCTCCCCTCAGCAGTGCACTTCAGTCAATCTGCCTATTCTGCTCTGCACTCTGTCTCTGGTGAATCCTCTCACCCTCTGCACCTCTGGCCTGTACCCAGTTCTTGCACAAATGAATGAATGGATGAATAGGTGAATAAATAAATGTATAAATAAATCTTTAAAATACTGCCTCTAGCTTTTTGAAACATCCTTGTCAAGTGGGATGAATCCCACTTGATCATAATGTATGATGTTCTTGTTGTATTCCACAATAGAGTCCTAAATATATCCTTCTTCCCACCTCCTTTGTCTGCTTCCATTTAGCTTGGTAAATGTAGCAAAGTATGGCTCTTTCAGTTCCCAGGCACTGCTGGTACCAAAAGTAGGTAGGAGAGGATTCGAATGGGTCAGGCTGTTGTGCAAGCAGAATAGAGAGACGTCCAGGACAGTTTGAATGCAAAGGCTAAAGGAGCAGAGATTAGAGAATCTAACGCCTTGGGGTCAAAGTTCGTTCCTCTTGTCTGGAATGATTTGCCCACTTGCCTTCTGGTTCGCAGTCCAGAGCTAACAGCACTGTTTCTACATTCTGTAAATACACAGCACCTTTGAGAGTTTTCTGTGGCATTTCATTTTACCTAACTTTGGAGAAGGTGGGTGGAACACACTTGTTATCACGTTCTTCCCTCTAGTTTTCCATTGAAATTCCTCTGCTTTCAGGAGCAGGTGGGTATCAGATGGGAGGAGGCTAAGAACCTCAAAAGCATAGCTTCATAATGTTTTCTAGAATGTCATTGTAACCCAATTACTCTGAAGTTTTGCCTCTAAGGAAGCATGTTTTTAAATTAATGTACCTATTTGTATTAAGATCATAGGATCTATTGCACTGTTAATTGAATTATGAGAAGTCAAGACAATTGTAGGATCATCATCTTAACCTTGATGCTAAAAGTCAAACCCAGTGCTTCCACAAATCCTCTTGTAAAAATTAAGATGAAAACTGTCCCAATAAGTAATTGCATACCAGTATAAGTTATATGTTTCTTTCATTTATGTAACCATAAAGATGATACTAGATCATTTTGAAACAAAAACTGAAACAATGTTTTGGAAAACCTTTTATATTAAGTACCTAAAATTCATTTCCACTTTAATGCCTGTCTTGAAATATTCCTTTATAGCTGTGCAATGGAGGATCAGTGACTGATCTTGTGAAAGGATTTCTGAAGAAGGGCAAGAGAATGAGTGAGCCCGTAATTGCCTATATTTTACGAGAAGCGCTGATGGTAAGGCAATTGGAACTATTCGTGCATTGATAATGAGGCAGTTCTGGTTAAATAAAACATGTGGCTCCTATTTTTAGAAAAACATCACTACATTAGTATTTATTGATGCAAGAATATATGCAAAAATCTAAAATGTTTAGTGTAGATAATTGTTCTTTTCCATTAGAAATCTACCCTGTGTGTGGTATCAAAGCCTTGCATCCTGATCTTTCAATGTACTTCTGAGATTGTTTATGATGAAGACATATAACATACGTTTAACTAATAAGTTTTTTCTTGCCATTATTTCAATAAGTACATAGAATGTTTGCTCATATTGCTCTTGACACATTTTTAATAGAATGTTAGTTAGGAACTAGCTTATGTTCTGGTTTTGTGACTTTTTATATAGTCCATGATGCATTAAGTCAATGTGAAACAGTAAGGATTTTTAAATGTTAATTTTAGCATGTGTTTCCTGTTGGTGTTGTACATATGAGCCTATCTAAAACATTTTCTTTAAAAGTCATTACATATTTCCTACCTTCTAGGGACTTCAGCACTTGCATAACAACAAAACTATCCACCGTGATGTAAAAGGAAATAACATCCTCTTGACCAATGAAGGTGGAGTTAAGCTGGTAGATTTTGGTAAGTTTTGTTTTAAACACATGATTGGGGTTGGGGTGCTGCAAAATGAGGTGGTATTATGTGATTTAGTCATTTTCCATAGCCTTGCTTTCTCTGGAGTAAAAATAAAGAGAAAACTCTATCTCATTGAGGCAAGAAAGTACAGTCTTAATTTTGTTTTGTTAACGAGAGATTCCCAGAAAAAAATATTTATTTCAAGTCAGTTAGCATATACCTGTAACATCACTTAATCAGTACATGTGGCTGATTCTCGAAAATAGACAGCACCCCCAGATCATTGCACTAAGCCAAATCATTGCACCTCTTGCTGGTGATTGCTTTATAAATGGGCTTATGCCTACATTCAGGAGTTTGAGACAGTGGGGGAAATATTTATAGGTCTCTCGGATAATATCTTGTCTTCTCTTAAGAGGACAAGGAAAGATGGCATCTTTCTTCCTCTGGACTCTTTGGGTCTTACTGTAATTCTGAATGACTTAATAGCACCCTGTTCTCTCCGAGGTTTTTCCCTTCCAAGTAGAAAGCCAACCCTGAGAAAGGCAGAAAGATGCCAAAAGCAAGATCCTTGGCGACCTAATTAGCACTAAATCAACCAACTTTGAAACATGCCATCTGTGAAACTTTTGTCATGTGAAATGATAAAGTTCCATATTTACTAAGCCAAGTGGGAGTTTCTGCATCATAGCCAAAGGCACACAGCTGATACCACTATGGTTCACTCCAGCAGTTATTCACCCTCTTTGGCAGTGCTCTTCCACACCTTCTCTCCCCATCACTGCTGAGGCACGAACCTTGTGAGAGTAAGTGGCATATTCATAGCCTTCCTTCCCTGTACTCTGGCTGGGCCCAGAGTCCCTCCTCATGTGCCTTGTTTATTTACCCATTTTTGTATCTGTCTATAACACTATAATGATCTTTTTGATCTTCATAGCTAAAGATACTTAGAAGAATAGTCTTGCAGAGAAGAGACTGTCTTCAACTTCAGTAGTTCAGTGAGTGATTCTTGAAGGATGCGTCTTTCTTCACTTTGCATTTTGGAAACTGAAGCTCAGGGAAGTTCATTGATAAATGTTTGAAAGTCACTGCTTGCTATCCAGGTACATAGCTCCCAAGAGATCTGGCTCCAGCCAGGAGTGCATTCAGGGTATCTAGAGAGAATGACTTAATAGCATACTCAGACAACCAGCCAAGCTTTTGAAAACTACAGAGCAGCACTGAGTTTGGCGGTGAAGTACTGATTAGTAACTCGGACACAGGTCGTCTGTATTGCTAGTTGAGTTCAGAACTCCATGTTTGAGCAATTTGACAAGATTAGGATACCAGTAAAAATGTGTGTCTGAAATTAGAAAGCAAGCAGTTAAAAGCCAAAAGACTCTTCATAGCTCCATAAGGAGGGCCATGACTCCCCTCAAAAAGTTATTTTGGCTCTTCTCCATTTTAATCACCCAGATGGAGAACTTGATGTTTAATTTGAGATCTCCTAATCTCCTTGTGCTTAAAAAATGGCTACAAAGCATGTAGCTTATACTGAAAATCATTAAAAGCAAGTGTAAGTAAACACCTTCTTCATTCATGAAAGAAAAACTGAATAAAATAGCATTGAGAAATGCAGCTCCCTGGAACACCCTCTAAAGTAATCTAGATTTAAAAATAAATACCTAAGTAATAAAGAAAGCAATCATTTAAATGGCACCTTTTATAAAGTAGTCATAAATGGAAAGCTGACAAAATAAAACTTTGGTATTAGATTAATTGATTTATAGACTTGATCTCAGCAACAACTACCAAAAAAAAGGGCCAGTTAAATGTGTTCCTGTTGGCTGATACCAAACTTATATTTTTTGCCAATAAGACATTTCTATTCTTCATGGTAAGAGGACAAGGATTCAGTTCACCTGCAATGATTCATAGGTTTTCATATGAATGAGAATGGAGGTGCAGGTGGAGTGAAACTTCTCAAGGGCAAAAGGAACAAGATGTGGTAAATCATAAACTGCAGAAGCAAATCACAAATCAGTATGTTAGGTTTATGTTTGAATCAAATTTCCACAAGAGGCTGTCGCTTTGGGTAAAGGGTTTTAGGATACTTATTTGACTTTCTCACTTCCTAAAATAATTGTGAGTTCATTGTTGGATACTGGCTGTCAACTCTCAAAATATCCAGAAAAGAACTCGTCTCCCCATCATCTCATCATAGGAAGTTACTGCTACCTCTGTTGTGGCTCAAGTCAGAAATCCTAGGCCCCCCGAGTCTTCCCTTATGTCACCTTCCACAGCAACAGCCAGTCACAACACTCCCTCTTTGCTAGATAGCCTGGCTACATTTGTGCTGCTCTTCCCTGGTCCTCGTCAGTACTCTGGCCTGGGTGCATTATCATGCCCAGGTGAGCGCCCTGTAACTCAGCTTGCCCATTCTCCACACTGCAGTCAGATCGACCCTTTCAGAAAGCACATCTGATGCTCACACTTGGTTGTTCAATATTCTATTCAACGTCCCCTGTAGCCCTTTGGGAGTGCTTTGCCTATGATCCTCTGTGCTGGCACAAAGTAAACACGTAATGATGGGTAGCTATATTATATCCCCTGGTGCTCATCAGGTAACCTCTCTTTCTATAACAACCTCTATTCCAATCAGGTGAGTTTCTTTCAGTTCCTTAAATGTGTCAAGGCTCTTACACACGTAATTAAGATCACTGGTGTTTATTCTTATGCCTTTCTCTTTGCCTATCCAAGAATAACATCTTCAACTCAGTCTGCCTGAGGCATCTTTGTCTGGGGGAAGACTAAGATTTGTTCCAGAAGGCATGTAAGAAAATGACTAAGGTAATATTAAATTTTTATTCTAAATAGGGATTTACAGCAAGACCCAGACGATCTCTTTTTAAGGCTCTTTCTAATCATTCTCTTTACCATATGCAGAGAGAATTTCCAGGGATCCATCATAGGGCTGCATAGAAAACAGATCAGAGAGAAAGTAGAGACCATTCCAATTCTAGGGAAATTGTGCAAAAGTGAAATAAAGAGCAAGGCAGTGGGGTGAGGTGACCTTTTCAAAAGTAAAGAAAATAGAGATGAAAGGGGCTTTGACCCTCATGAAAGGGGCTTTGACCCTCATACGTTCCTGTTATTCTGCTGCCATTCCATGTTCCAGTGGAGGGCACTAGAAGTCAGAGCCAGGCCCGCAAGTGTTCTCAGCTCAGTAGGAGCCAACCTGAGCCTTATTCTGTCAGATGGAACTACAGGCGGCCCTTTCTGGAGGAAGAAAACTGACTGCAGGCTCACTGGATGTGAACACTCAGGCGGGAGGCCAGTGGGGCAGGTGGCACCCACCTAGACAAAGGAGCAGGGCCCCAGAGATGAGAGGAGACCTCTCCTCTCCCTTCCACAAAGTCGTAACTTGCTTGCCCCACGCAGCTAGTACCGTGTTCAGGAGAGCAGGGAGATGAATGTCTCTGAGAGAGGAAACAAGGAAGGCTGAATGTTGAAAGGACTTACAAGTTTACTGAATATGACTAAGTTTACTTCCCTCCCAAACAGTAGATTGGGACATAGGAAGAGGTTGTAATAGTGACAGGCAAAGTGAGGAAATTGTACTTTCCCTGTATATGTAAGTATAGTGTCAATACATTTTGTGATCCACTATAAGCACGATGCTGTCCCTGCCTGGCAACCTCCTCTCACTCTGTACCCAACTAATTTCCATGTCCCTGGCTGGAAAGTGCCTCCCCATAGCCTATAACTTGTTTAGGCAACAAGTTGTCACACTTGATTATAATCCTAATTTAATTGGACTACCTTTCTACTAAGCTATAAATTTCATGCTGATAGGACCTCTGTTCTATCGATTTGTTTCTAACACAAGCATGGTACGGACGCACTGACGTTGCTCAATAAATTGTCTCAAGTGAATGAATTAATGAGCGGCCAGATTTTCCATAGAATTGTGTGACCATGAGAAAGTCACTTGAATTCTCTGAAGATATCAATTTGCTCATCTATCATCTACAAGAATGAAAAAGAACAATCTATTGCTGGTACATTGCTAGAAGAAGTAAGTAGAATAATACAGATTAATAATAGTGTAATAACAGAGGCTTTCTATTTGAAAAAATATGAACTGTTACCATTATTACAAATCAATATTTTATTAAATCAGTGCTAAATAACGAAAACCAAAATAGGTGCCTCTTTCTGTTTAAAAATAGCCTTTTGCTAGAGTAAACTCAGCATTGCTTTAAAAGTCAAGCTATCCAGTCAATACTACAAGTAAAATACAGCTTGCTAATACTTGTTATGAATACACCTTTTAAGGAAAATCTTTGGTCTCTTTTTGTTAAGTGGGTTATGCTTTTACAGGAAATCACCAGACACCCCAAAAAGGACAAGTGAGCTTGTAAACATTATTAATGAAATACATTAGCAGTCACTGGTATATGATCAATCAATAAATAATATTACCTCCCAGGAGATAAATCCCTTTAGGCAAGTCACTTAATGTCTGAAAAAGCAGCCCTTCTCTAGAATACAAAATGAAAGAGAGACTCAATTTAAAGGGCAGTGCTCAGGTCTCAGGTCTATGGATTTCTCTCTGGGGAACTACATTTCTAATAGGATAGTTAACATTTCAATGCAAGAGAGCAGCCTGTACTTTTGTGATTTATTTAGACACTGTTCTTATGACAGAATATTTTATGGCTTTAAATCTCTCATTACCCACATAGTTAATTTTAGGCCAAATCCCTAATGAGTAATATAGGTCAAAAAGTTGTGATTTATTTATTAATAATACACCTTTTACCATCAAGTGAGACAGGTATACCTGACCTTAAAAACTATGAAGTTCCCTTTATTTCTTCCTTTCTTCCCAAATAATCCAGATTAAGAGAAAGCATGGTGATATGCAGGAGGGTGTGAGATCTCAGCCTGTGGTTGGCAGCCTGACAGGGGTGAGGAAGGTGTCCATGCTGGTGGTAGTGGTGGTTTGTCATGTCCCAAAGTAG